TGGTTGTGGTTGTCGTTGTCGTTATAGTAGCATCATCCGCTTTAGCAGATAAATTTGAAGATAATGGAATTGTTTTTCAAAGATGATACATGGTTCAATAATAATATACCAAATCTGAACCATCCAATGGTAATTTTATTAATATTTGACTTTATCAAATTATTATAAATATTTTTACTGTATATAATATATATCTTAATATCATTAAATTATTTTTATTGATTATAGAAGTCTACCGCGATTCCAACACTAAAACCCGATGTAATCATAATGACAGTTGATTCTATCGCTGTGTATGATAAAAGCTACAAAAAATATCCAAATGTATTCCGCCTTGTATGTCCCCAGGGCTGCCAATATCTTTTCCAGGCAGAAAGTGAATCAGAAATGAATGATTGGATCGTAAAAATCAATTATGCTGCCACTTTCAAAACTATTGGATTGAAAATGAGACATACTTGGAATGGTAGCATGGAAAAAGATGAAGAAATGCGAAGAAGGGGACAACGAATTAGAAGAATGTAGTTGTGTCGGCGAAGAGGGAGGAAAATTTCTATCATCCAAAGAGGATTTTTGAGAATTTTCATTGATGCCACCATCACCACCATCGAAATCAAAAATATCAATAAATGGGTTATTGGTAGATACTCTAGTAGTAGTTATTGTAGTTATGGTTGTGGTTGTCGTTGTCGTTATAGTAGCATCATCCGCTTTAGCAGATAAATTTGAAGATAATGGAATTGTTTTTTCCTCATAAGGTGGAGGAGGTGCATCTTCTACATCAGGAGCATCCATGATACTAACACTCGTATTGCGACGTTTTAGATTATTTTTTTCTTTTTCAGTTGGAAAACTAAGCGAATTTGATCTTGAAAGTTTTTTTACATCTTTGTTAATGTCTAAACCAAATAATTGTTGTACAGCACTAGAATTTTTATTATTTAGCGAGAACATATTACATACAATGACAATTAGAAATGGCGATCAAAACTTGTTTTTTTTTCACGCCAGCCTACGGAAGGAAACACGTAAAAAAGCTCACTTAACCTCCAAGGGTTATTAAAGCCACTGTAAAAAGTTGATTGACACCGAGAAAGGATTTTCAAAAATGAGAATGTAATGCAAGAATAAATAATGACGCAAATTATGCCTTTAGGTGATTCTGACGTAAAAAAAAAAACACGAAGACAAAATACAAATAGAAATTATTTAAAAGTTTATCCGGTCTTAAAAAACGTCTAAACCTTTGAGGGAAAGGTAGTTTTTTTTTACATTAATTCGAAAGCAATATAAATTTTCATATTGTAGAAGTTACACGTGCTTTATACAGGTAAACCTAAGCACCTACCGGATCAAAAAATGAATGAATGATTGAGGTTCTTTATGCTCTCCGTCGCACAAATACACAAGATTCTGCCGGTATATTTCACAGTTTCAGAACAATGGGTTACCGAATGCAGATCTTGCTTTCCTAAGGAAACCAACATGGGGACAATCTCCCGCTTCTTTTATATTAGCTATTTAAATTCCAACAAATAAAGTAATCACGTCAAGACTTTAAAAAAAACAGAATAAAAAAATATCGGAATTTCTCAAGATTAAAAGTTATGAAGCATAAAAAGTGATCTGAATCTTGTCAGTCGATAAAGTATAAAATTGAAAAGTAGGTTGCCTGCAGACAAACAAAGAAATAAACAAATGTCTGCATTTATCCTAAACTTTGTAATGTATCGGTATGTATTCTCTGTTACTACACATTAGCTATTCACATGGGCAAATTAAATTATTTTTTAGATGTTTCGGTTTGGTTTTTACGTCAGAATCACCTAAAGGCATAATTTGCGTCATTATTTATTCTTGCATTACATTCTCATT